GCCTCCCCAGCCCTTTGCCTTCTCTCTGTTGTCCTCTCCCCACTGTTCTCCTTCCCTGCTGTCCACCCATCAGTCTTTCTCAGGTGGTTTCCAGCTGGCAGCTGAAGTGGGAAGGTCTCTGTGTGCACACGGGTGCATCGGTGTCTGCTGTGGGGCATCAGGGAGCCTCACCCGGGCAGGGTGCCCATGGGGGGCACCTGTTTTTGGAAATGGCTGTGGCAGCTCTCACTGGTGTCTCGGGAGGTTGCAACCAAGATGTTTTGCAAGAAAGCTTACAAGAAAGCGAGTGATGTAGTCAGAAAATCATGACATGCTTTTTTCCTGTGCACATGGCTTTGTGCAACTCACTTTCTCTTGCTTCTCTTTGCTCTGCAGAATGCATCTTCCTTCCTTTTTTCACCCCCTTCTCCTCCTTCTTCGTCATTTTCCTGTAGCTCCAGTTACTGATGTGGGATGGTTTTACCTTTTTCTCCCTTTCTTTGCTACCTGGGGGGAGCGCGACCATTTTCCATTATTCTGTTTCACCTCTTTTCATAGAATCATAGAATGTTTTGGGCTGGAAGGGACCCCTAGAGGTCACCCAGTCCAACCCCCCTGCAGGGAGCAGGGACACCGCTAACCAGATCAGGTTGCTCACAGCTCCATCCAACCTGGTCTTTCCACTGGTCTAACTCCAAAACTAAGATGATTAAGGCACTCGGTCATTCAGTCTCCCTTTGCTCTTGAGGCTTCTTTGCGATTTACTTTCAGGAAATATGCACCCAGAAAGCAGCTGGTTTTGAAGACAAGAAGTCACCTGAGTCTTCTGTAGCTGGGGGTCCATGGGGTCTTCAGTGCTAGGAGAGGGGAAAGAGTCAAAATGTCCATGGATGGTGAGGGTCTCCTGAGCAGGGCATTGTATTTATGTATAGCCATTTACCAAAGGGATTTTTTTTCCCTTGTCTGCAAATAGAAGTTTTAATAGAATCTCAGCTGAAAGTTGTTGCCATGTGGTGGTTTTTAAACTGGGAGGGAAGACTCTTATGCAGATCTGTTTGGGGGGTTTGATGTCTTCTTTAAACAACAGGTTATTTTTTATAAATAACATTTTCCTAAACTTTTCCCCAAGATGGTATTTATACAGATTTTAAAAAAAAAAAAAGTTAATTACCATGTTCATTAAGCAAAACTGCGTCTCAGTGAAAGTGAAAAACAGGGTCTTTTGATACTGACTCTTGATTGAACAGTTTCCAAAAAATTTTTTTAAGGAGCTTTGCTCCAAACTGCCTGAAAGGCTGTTTTTCTGTATGCCCTTCCTCCTTTCCCAGCTGGCTGTGTGTTGGAGCTGACGGCAGCCCACCAGAGCCTGGGCAGAAGGCAGCTGCTCTAAACAGGATTTAATAATGGGGCAGGAGGAGGTGCACGGACACGTGGTGGGGACTACACTTCCGAGAGGCCCTGCTGTGGCCATGCCTCCCTTTGGTGGAAACCCAGGCTTTATCACGAGCTGGAGGGACCAACTGCCAGCTCTCTCTGGGGACAAGCAGCCATGGGACTGACGTGCGGGATGAGGACCACCAAGTGCCAGCAGCTGGTGACCAGCCTCTGTGTGATGGTGAGCAGGCAAGTTTGGGGGCACCTCTGCAAAACTGGGGGTGAGGCGAACTGTCCCCTTGCCCGTCCCCGCTTGGAGAGGGTCGGGTTTTTCCCACGTTCTGTTTTTCACGGGCAGCGGGCAAGCAAAGCTGACTGCCTGAGTTATCGCTGTTTCCCCCGCCGCCCAGCGTCCCCCCCCCCCGCCCCGCTGATAGACTTCTGGTTTCACAGGGCTGTCACCCTGCTGTGGCTCTTTCACAACCCGGCAGCCACCTCGAAGGAGAAAGAAAAGGTCGCTGCCGGCAGAACGGGTGGTTTTCAGCAAAAAGATATTTGCTCCTGTCAGAGCAAAAGGGGGAGGATGGACCTGCTGCAGTCACACTTGTTGCTGGGAGGGTGGTCGGCTGCAGGTGGGATCAGTGAGGATATGAAACCACAAGGCTTCGATGGAAGCATATGTGAGAGACCTGTGGATCTGCACCAGAAAGCAAGAGCAGTTCTAGGGACTTAGAACTTCATCCTTTTCATCAGCTTTTGAAGCAAATTCAAGGGGAGCTTCTTGACGTGTGCTCTTATAGCTGATGGGAGATGGTGGAAACTAGGGGAATGCTTCTGCTCGATGTTTTTGATGTGCTTGTTGCCTTTTCACTTCATCAAAACTTGCAAGCTTACATAATAATATTATTAATAATAATAATAATCTGTATAGTTCAAAGAGGGTTGGTGGCTTGTAAAGAGTGTAATTAAAAGGTGACACCTTATTTTGGGCCACACATGAAATTTATAGTTTGTCCAAATTTCAACATTTCAGGACCACTGGATGTAGTGGGTGTACGTTGTTCTCTCTTCCAATATGTCATTTGGAGAAAATCAAAGGAGGATTGGTACCAAAGGTGCTTAGAGGAGATGCTAAGGCACAGCCACCACGGATGGCAAGAATCACATTATTGCTGTTGGGAAGGTTTTAGGCTGGTGTTTCTCAGAAATCTGAGCTAACTTAGCACTTTGCTGGGCGTGGATTGAGATACGCGGTAATGCACAGCATGAAGGATCAGTAGGTGCCACAGATTAAGTTATTTGGAAGCAGAAAATGCTATGGTTTGGTTGTATTTAGCCTCTGGAACTCTAACTCTCCAGCAGTAGCTATTGGTCTGCTCTGGAAGAAAATGTCATACAGTGGGGGTTATGCTGACACCTGACTGTCGCATTTGACACGGGGATGGCTGCCTTGTGTTTCCCTGTTGTAAAGGCACAAAATGCTGAAACCTGGGACCTAGGAATGGCCTCACATCTTGTATTTTCCAGGTTGATTACAGTAGAGTGGGAGCTGTTTTTTACCTGTCCTGCTGGTGGTGCCTCTGTCCCAGCTCTGCCACTGGTTCATGCTGCAAGGAGCCCTGCTCTAGAGCCAGGTGCCATCAGAAATGTTCCCTCTCCATCACCTGGACTTGCTCCGGGCCACACAGAGGGTAGCATGCTGGTAGTCACCCCATGCCTTAGCCATACCAGTGCTCTCAGGGATGGGACAGAAACACAGACAGCCTGGCGGCACGTTGCGGGGACAGAAACCAGCACAGCTTATTTAGAGTAGTACAAGACTCAGCTCTTTGCACTCTGCAATAGGAAATACAGCCAACAGCAGGCAACGGGACTAGCATTGCAAAGGGCAAAGCAGAGAACATCATCCCTGCCCAGAACCACTCTTTGAAGCGCTCATAACTGCACATGCGTACCCTGCAGAGCGGGTCGGGACCCCACAGGTGTGCTGCGAGAGCATCGGTCCTCGGGGCTTTCTTCACATGGTGGGAATTTCATCCACAGACACTGGCCAAGAGACCACGGGCTGTGCGGTGTCACGTGCACTCATTGCGCAAGAGAGAAAAAGAGCTTTAGTATGCCTAAGTGTCCGGGGTTTGTCCTTTTATGTGCATTTTGGGGTACACACAGTGGTCTCTGGGTGATCAGGTTGTTTGCATCTGTGTGGGCCTCATGACTATCCAGATACACCTCAAAGCTTTTTGTGCCCTCAGCAGGAGCTGCTGCCTTGTCAATCCCTTCCTAAAACCCTTCCTTTCCAGCTGCTGGGGCTGTCCATCGCCACGCTGAGCACAGTCACCCACTACGGGCTCCACTTCACCCTCATCAGTGACATCTCCCTGGAGAGCAACTCCTACAGGGCCATCCACCACGCAGGTACGTTGCGGTCCCATCCCGGTGAGACCTTTGGTGAACCCAGGAGCTGCAAAATCCCCCAGAGCAGTCAAAGGAAATGCAGAGGCGTTGCAGAAGGAGGCAGGGGCTGGCTTTTGGAGGGTGCGCTGGGGCTAACACAGCCCCACGACACTTTTTTCTGTATCAGACACACATGCCTGGCACTAAAGGGTGATGTGGGAGCACAGGGTGCTCGGGCGCCACTGCATTCACCCCTGTCCCTCTATTCACCATCTCCCCATCCTTCCCCCATGCTGCAGTGAAAGCACAGGGGGGGGCTCAGCCAAAGACGGACCTAAAGGCGGGGCTGGAAGGGCCCTGGGAGCGTGGGAAGAGGGACTGTTACAGGAGTTGAAGC